AACAGAAACTTTCGAATAGGGTCATCGCACTGGCGCGCAGGAGACATGTCTGCGGCATCGTTTATCTTGCCTGAGAGTGCCCTAACCATGCATTGTATTTATACTAAGGATTGGGTTTGGGACATTGTTTGCATAGGGGCGAGGACAGAGTATATAGCATAAAGGAGCAGCAAAAGCAGTGGACTTTGCAAAGTTTACGTCACACTGCTGGTAGTGTTGTGACCCATGGAAATGGCCAAAAACTGTGAGTACGCAAGGGAAAAAAAAACATTGCGAGTGCAGCCGCGTGGCCTATGTAAGAGAATTTCTGAGGTCTAATAGACGAGATTACATTAAAAAGCTGGTACGTGATTGTTTAGAGCGTGCCAAAAAGAAAAAAAAAAAAAAAACCGTTTTGCACGAGGCATACTAATGAGTTTTCTTAGCGATACTGCTTTTTATGTTTTACAAAAGCGGTCTATAAATCTACAGGCCCTTTTTTCACTTGGAAAGAATGTATCGTTCAACGTCACGACTTGGCTCCTCACCAAGACCGCCAGCTCGTGACGTCATTCAAACAAACGCTGAGCTCCACACAAATTGCTCAAAGGCCAAATGAGGACATTGGCCCCCTTCATAATTACGAGAAGCGTTCACACGATGGTGAATTCAGCAATCAGGAAATTATGACACCTTATAATTGTAGCTTTACATATTAGCGAGAAATATGACTCCTGTTCTAGAGACTTCTTTGACCTAGTGCTCCACGCTCAGTCCTCATTAACAGGCCAGTCATCCATCACAGTTTCCAGCTTATTAGTTATTGCTTTACAAATTGAAAACATATTCGGAAATTATTTACCTCGCTGATGTGTACTAGGACGAAAGTATTCAATTTTTGACCGCAGTATGCACAACTACCGAGCTTATATTGCATCAGTCACGGCAAAAGAAAGCAAGGAAGCTCTCCCTGTCAAGGTCTCCATTAACAAATTTACTATTGTCCTTTATGGATCCTCCGTGAAGATGGTGTTTTAGAATGCTTTTTTCACTATCCTGAGTAATGTCCCCATTAAGGACCCTGGCGGAGTGGCCGATTTCGGTGTCTTTACAGCAGTGACAAACTTGCTCAAGTTGGCCATGGGTACAGTCTTCGATTATTGTGCATCTGCTGCTTTCATCGGCTGTGACGATGTGTTTAGTCAGTCATGCAAAGAATCGAGAGATAAAAAGAGGGTATCGGCGTACCAGAGGGAACATTACTTTGATTTAGGTTTTCTGCGCTGCTCGAAGAAAATAATATCTCATCTTGAAAGTACATACTCCGAAGCTCCGAGTGGTCTTGACCTATGCGAACGACTGATGCAAATCCCATGCCTTTTTGGGTTTCATCTGAATGTGCGGTCTAAAATTGTATCAGTGGATATGATCAGGACTGGCTTTATTGGCGTACTGCAAATGTTCACGGATAACGCACCAATCGCTCTGGAGTCTTGTCGACCTGTGCCGTTGACTCTTGATCAACATGAGGGCCAGACATGGAGAAAACGGGCGAGATGAATGGGGACTCAGAATCTTACTGTGCGCTGGAGCAGGATATTTGAGTTCTGGAATTGTGGTTGAGAAATTTACTGTCTCGGTTGTTGGGTGCTCCTAGGCGCAATGTTCTGAATTTACCCCGCTAATTATTTCGATGCATAAACCTAAAGTATAAGATGAGTCTTGTGATCCATCCAAGCGAAGAATCGGTGAAATCAGATTTTGTCGGCCATATACAGACCCTCGTATAGATTTTTAAAGGGTCTGAGCGGTGTAAGCATGCTTTCTATCCGATCTTATTCTTAATCTGTGCGTAAGGCAGGGTGTTTTAACACATTTTAGAATACTTGGACCATCATAAGGTTCAATAGTACGGTGTGAACGGAAGCCAGTTATAGGTTGAACCAAGAAACGAGGCAAAATGTGAAGCTTACAATGAAGTGGATTCCATAGATCTCAGGTCCTCACAAGCCCTCCCTCTGACGTTGCACTTTCGCGGTTGTTTATCTAGAAAGACTTGTATAATATACGAGTTATTAGGATTATGAAACATATATTGTACTTACCCGACGTTATATTTCTCCTTCCTTTTCGTCCTCTTATCCACAGGAAAGAAATCCTACCCGGAGAAAGTACAGTTAAGACTCAGGGAAGCTGCTTGGGAGGGGCAGCAAGGATCTATTTCTTGAGCCAGGCTAAAAAGTGCTTACTGGGGACTACATGCAGCCGAAAGCTACCAAGCGCCTGAGAAATACTACTATTACAACCACTACTGGGTAATTCACTTCTTCCGGTCGCAGGAAAAATATCCTGTCCAAACACGATGTTACATCGCGCCAGCTTTATTTACCTGTTTGTCAATCTACATTGACGTAGATTGAATATGCTTTTGCGGTTCAGGCTATGCCAAAGTCCATTCCATGTTGATCTCTATGGCAGTGCCCATCATTGCTTGGCTCTGACCAGCAACGGATCCTTCCTCTACCTAGACACTTAGGTTTGTCGATCCTCGTTCAAGGCTTCGGCATTTTCTTTCCCGCCGTGTTTCTGCCTTTCTACGCGGCGGCCGTCAATATCCCATCCATTCAAGGCGCCCTGCTCCTGGCTCTGATGTTTATCTCGCAAGTCCTCGGCCAATTCACATTCGGCTACCTATCAGACAAAAGCTTCTCGGCCAACTCGCTCTCAATCGTCTGCTGTGCTGCCGCCGCAGTCGCCGCGTTTATATTCTGGGGTCTCTCCAAATCCATCACCTTCCTGGTCGACTTCAGTCTCCTGCACGGGTTTTTCAGCTTCGGGCTCGGCACTCTGCGCGTTGCCATGGGGCACGCCTTATCTGAAGGCCAGTCGACCATCTTTGCAACCTACGCTCTGTTCGTTTTCTAGCAGGGCGTCGGCAATATCCTCGTGTCTCCGATCAGTGCCGCTCTGATCGTCAGCCCGACTGCGCACGAGCGCTTCGGTGTCGAGAAGTACAACGGCATCGTCATCTTGACCGGGGCGTCGTCGGCATTAGCTGGTCACGTTATAGCCCTTTGGCTTGGGTATTGGATGCTCGCGAGAGCTCTCTGCTACACTGTTTATCGGAGATTTGGCTTGACTATGTTTTCACTTAAGTATTGATTATCCCTGTACTATGGCATTCCTAGATGAGGCAAATAATTGGACCGGGCATACAAAAACGTATTTTAATGCTTTAGTAAGGCATCTTAACTAGGTGAGCATTGTGGTATAAACACCATTTTGGTAGGAATGCATGGTAGGCATGGGAACTAAATGAATCTAGAAATGTTACATGATGATCTATATAAGCCCTAGCCCGTCTGGGAAACGGATTTTCCGTTATACTAAAATGTCTCCGGACAAGATATGTAGGACTGGGAAAATATAAGTCGCTGGTTTATCTGCGGTCTTGCGGCAATCAGCCAAACGCTGGTTTTTGTCTGGTGGCTGCTAACAGATTTCGGAGTTTAGCTTGAGAATGAGTCATTTATTTCACTGAGAATAATACGCTCCTACTCCAAAAATGCTGGATTCCATTGCTTCAATATTTGACAGTTCCAAAAGTTGCTGCAGTGAAAGAAAAAGTCCCTGGATACTTGTCACCTGAATCAGTAAGTTATTGAAAAATTAGCTCAAACTGAGTCCCATTACAAAAGTCTTCAACAAATGAAAGAAATCGCCGGTGTTGAAAGTACAATACTTCAAAAATTCTTTCACTAAGTAGAAGAAGCCGGTCTGCAAGCCGATTCGGGGTCGGGTTATGCGGCCCAATCTCCACTTGTTGGTGTTGGTTGCGACCCCATTCTGTACCGCAAACCCACGGAGGTCGATCATAACCATCTAGCTAAGCTTACGGAATCAAGGGTGGAAAAACCTTTTCGTTCAAGATCGACTTTACCTAGTAACGAGGAAGCTAGCTCTCCCAGGTATTAATAATCCTTCTATTGGACAGTAAAGTTCATGCACTGATTTATATTAATAATCTTTGTGGCTGCTACAGGGTGACAATACGGAGCTAACTGCACCATGCGTTTATAGACTAACACGGCCAGAGGCCCTCATGTGCGTATTATGTGGCTCACTTGGGTTGACTCTAACCGTAGGAAACCCCCATTCTAACCAATCAACCCATAACTACCGGTAGTGCATATGTTTATTTAGCTGATAACCTTCGTAGCGTATCTCATCTTGATGTTTTTGGATCTCTCTCTCCTGTTGAACCAAAACACAACAAGGACAGTAAAAGGAGCTCAAACGATCACCATATACTGAGCCTACTATTCCAAGTTGCTTGCGGATCATACATCGCTTTTTCATCAATAGTATCCAGTGCAAGCCACACAGGCTGAGGTATGAGAATAAAAGACACTAGCTTCTGGGTTAGCTCTCTAGGGATGTGCTATATCATGCAGATATACTGTACATCTCTGTTACACCCACGACAGAAACAGTTCTCATATCGTTCAGTATCCTCCAATCGAGATAGAGAACTCCCGAATAACCAACAGGGTAGAAAGCTCACGCATATGCCTGAAGTGCAAATTAGCAGTTAGAATAAACATGTTTGTCTTGCATACATGTGTTGATATCAGCGCAATAGCCATCGAAGAACTTAAAAGACCATTGTCTCTCTCCTATATTACCATAGTCCATCTGGCGTAGCAGTGTTTGTCTAATCAAGTGAACAAAGATATAAAGAGAGGTTGGGAAGGTTTACTTCATGAACCTTCAAAAGTCGAGCACCTAGTGTTCGAACTAGTAGTACTATGCTAATAATTAACGGAGCTTCGGTGTGCTAGGCTATTTAATGGCTCACCAGTATCTCCCTGCATTCTGCACTTTATGCTGCGACCCCGTTTAGTGCCTGCAGGCGATTCAGTCTACCGTCCAGGCCTTTCAAATATGATAACTTACATGCTCATCATCTCTGTGGGTCATTTTTCTCTGTTCTATACTTTTCTTCCCCTACCCTAGTTACAATGTGCAACAAACCAAAGATCCCAGGAGGGCTACAATTGGCCATTGAAAAAGGCCTTTCCTATGATGTTCAAAGGTATCTTGATGAGGGAACAAGCCCCGATCTTTGTGACAAGAAGAACAAGCAGAGCCAGGGAAAACCGCTGTTAGCACTTGCTGTTATCAATGACCAGATACGTATAATCGAGCTTCTTATAAAGTATGGCGCCAAGGTTGATAAGAAGGACTCCCATGGCCGAACTCCGCTATCCTGGGCAGCTGAGCATGGTGCATTTCAAGCTGTGAAGCTGCTTATCGAACATGACGCAAATGTCAATACCGAAGATAAAGAATGGACAACACCGCTCGCTTGGGTAGTCTATGCAGGCACAAGGGATACTCAGAGAATGCAGGACTACCTTATTTCCAAGGGTGCCAGGATAGAAATGCGCCATACTTTCTTCGACACGTTTATATATTTACTGGCTGTAAGGTGTAACTGGGTGCTACACAAGCTGAAAAGTAAGAGTTCTGGCTATCTTTATATATTCTTGCTAACCTAGAAGTAGACCAATTTTGAGAGTGGGGACATGGGATTTTAATACACAATGTCTCTTTTGATATCCTGGTTGGTGCTCAGCAAATAATGGGAAAATATACTGAAAATTATCCTTGAACTATGTAAATAAGGCTTTGCAGTATCAGGAGGTTTGATTGCCTCTGAGGCTTCGATACAGTATAATATATATAACGCAAGGGCCAATGTCAACTAATCTGCTAATAATTATCATTTGATGAATTGAGTCGCGCCAAACAAAAACCATAGACATATACAGTAAATAAGTGGCGTTGGAATATTTTGCCGAAATTGTAGTATTAGCTGCTTTCAGATGGTGACTCTACCCGCGGAAGAGGTCCATCTAACATTTAGCGCCTGCAAGCCCATCCGGGTACGGCAAATTGTATTAATTTAAATTCCCCTCAACCGCAATTTGCTTTCATGCTTTCTTATCCGATCCATACTCGGAACAAGATAATATCGCAGCCAATCTACGCCCTATATTTTGCCTACTATCATGTCACGGACTGTTGACCTCTGTTTACCGGTAGGCGTACAACACTCATCAGCAGGACTAAACAAAAACTGAATGTTATTGGTCAGATTTTAAGTGCCAGTGATAACCTAGAAGACCAAGATATCGATCAATTTTCAATTAGTGATGAGTTGGCGCCTCTGCACCAGACGGACTTTGATGTGGGTTAACTGTCCTATTAACTGCAGCTCTATGATTCAAACTTCTTTTCTTTCTAGGCAGTCAAAGAGCTCCTTCGGGCGTTGCGGGTTTTCAAAAAGCGTGGTATAGCACAGAGAATTGCCATTGCTGCATATATATCGGGATGTTCACGCGATAGCTGCTGGATGGTTCAGGGTCTCGAAGGGTTTAAAGTAGAGATACCAACAGATAAATGGTATAAGGTGTGCGAGATGGTAACGAGTGAGGGTTTTATTAAAGCGCGCGACACTGTTGGATAACAATCTAGCTAATCCCACATCACATCCGGAAACTGCTGAATAAATTTGTGATTCCAAAAGATTGTTGCAGCTTGTTACTTTCCTGCGGCTTCTGATCTAAGGTTGAATTTGAACAATATGATGGTTGGATGCTGTTTACTACCTTTGGAAGCGTTTGATAAGAGCAGCCCTTTCGTTACCTGCCCTTAGCCCATAGCGTGTCATTCTGTATTTAACCACAAAGTGTAGTAGTCAATAACCCTAAGCGTATGATATGCTTCTCAACATATCATCCCATTTAAGCTGCTTATATCCTTTTGCTGAATTGCTATATTGGACATAGCAAATAAAGATGAGTATGCATATTGAGACTGCAGATCGTGTAGCTGAAAACCTGTAGGTGTTATAATGCATGGATCATAAACCTCTAGTACGAATAACAGTATGACACTGGGAAGAGTCTCTGTAAACCAAGGAGGTTTAGGAAAAGAAATGCTATTCTGCGAAACTATTAGGGATCGGCCGCACTTGGGTCACGCTCCCGTTGCGGCCCCATTTAGGTTCGGCAGACCCACTCTGGGTAGTAGCTAGATCATCAACGAAGAGCACAAAATATACAGCCTGCTTAATTTTAGGACTTCAAAACTGCTATAGCATGAGCAGGCGGCTTGGCTTATTTGCCAAGGTTCAGAAATTCTGAGCTTAATTAGTAGCCTCCAATAATGCTTTGGGCAGTAATTTGGTAAGCAAAATTTGAATAAAATGACGTGAGTATGGATCGGGACCAGAAAAATGGGTTCATGCTAATTAGGCGACGTAGCATCCCAGGGAGCAAAGAAAAATGTGAGATATCTCAGAAGAACGTATCACCTAACATGATATGGTCATGGCTAGGATCAAAGACCACAATGTCCCTTTAAAAGGCAAAAATAAAGACAATAAATCACTTCAAATTCTTCGCTTCGTTTTTAAGGAGAGCCCCATAATTTGGTGCCTCTAATATCCTTTATTCCCTGCTGCTGCCCTAATCACCTTTTCAAAGACTAGGTGTTCGTTTTGATCAGGATTTCTGTACGCATTGCTAACCTAATTGGGACCAATTGATCTTGTCATGAAGTATACTTACCGTGAATTCATGCATAGTCTGGCCCACCCCATAGGTCATGCCCTGTGCGACATACATTTCTTGTTTCTTAGAGAGAGCTTGAATCAGGTTTAGAGGCTGCAATACAATCGTAGGCATTTTGCAAGATAAGTGCCTTTCTACCAGGCGTCCTGCCCTTCTTCCGCATTCCATCAACAGTTTCCACATCTTTGGCTGCGTTGCAAGTTCTGATGATATCCTCAAGCTGGTCAAATTTGGCGTTTAGGGACTCTCGGTACCGCTTCTCAACGCGGCTATGTTCTGTCTTTTGTGATTGATATAAACTTTTTTTGTATACCTTCTTAGGCGCAAGCTTTCGTTGGTTTCTCGGTGAATGCAGCTCTGGCGTCATTTCTGGTTGGTGCCTTCGAACAGGAGTATCATCCACGTCACAGCTCACGCGAGTTTTAGCTCGTTCTATGGGATGTTTCTCGCCTGTAGTAGCTTTGGAATTCTGTTGCCAGTACATATATAACACTCCGGGATGGATAACTTCTTTGTTACTACTCTGCCGCTGGTGAGAAAGGAGTGTAGCTGCGACCTGGGGCTTTAGATACCATTAGCCGGTATAGAGGAATCTTCTATATTCTCTGGTTTGCACGGTAATATAAGAAACCATTTGGACATACCATAGGGACACCCGAAGTGCAAATCCAATTACCTGGGTCATTCAACGTCTGTGATTGCAGAAATATACCACATTTGTCCAGTGGTTCCAGGGAACCATCAGTAAATTCCATTTCAGAGATGTGAAAACGTTGCATTGGAAATCTCTGCTCGATAGGTAACCAAGAGCATGTATTGTACGCTTCCGTCCCCATGGTGTGTCAAAATGAAGAGCTATGAAAAAGAGCTTCAATTAAACGTTTTACTATCCTCCTAGTTAGCAGCTGTTGGGGGCGCTTTTCGTAATTATTAAGAGGGTCAATGTCCTCATCTGGCCCTTTGAGCTGCCTTTTGTAAAAACCGGCTTTCTACTGAATGACGTCACGAGTTGACGGTTTCGGTGAGGAGCCAAAGCCTGACGTTAAAGAGGTGAAATGTGGGGCCCGTAGAATCCTAGGCCCGCTTCTGTAAAATCTCTGAAAGCGGTATCTAGTCGAAAACTTTCATTTACTACCATGTATCCTGCAACACTTTTCCCTGCATTCTCTAAACTGTCAGGGACAAACTTTCCGAGTTGACCTTGACATTTATGGAGTGAATCCTTCTTACGTCAATGACAGCATTGCCAGTATTCAAACATGCAGCTATTCGTCCCTTTTAGCGGCTCATAGGGAACAAGATTAATTTCCGGCCGAGCGCTGCACCTCGTATAAATTCTGCACGCGGTGGACCTATTAGAGCCAGTATTCTGATTCTCGTTCAACGAAACGTTGGAATAGTGTCATATTGATCCGACCAGGACTCTCGGTTCTTGAGACCATCTGGACCATCTGGTAAGATGAACAGAAATTTGTGCTTTTCAGGCATTTCTGTGGTTCCAGGTGGTTGATTAGGTGAACAACTCAGGAACTTGCAGAAGTACTTCGCGCGTCGCCAAAGCTAGAAAGTGATATCTTCGGCTTATGAAATCAGCCTGGTCGTTGATCACCAAGTTGTTGAGTCTCACGTGAAATCACTGTTTTCGACGCTCGGCTCTGAACATGACGGAGATAGCCGGGTCGATGAAAGTTTTGACCACGGGAACGTCACGGCTTCATAAATTCAATCCGCGTAAGCGGCGACAACCAGATCTAAGGATGGCGTATACCGGGCCCCTGCATATTTCCTAGTAGTGTGGTGCTTTCAGTTTAGCGATCTGTAATTTCCCTCAATAAGCGGCTGTCTGATGAAATCAAATGACCCGTCTGCCACCGCATAGCTACATTTAGATCCGGTGCCAAGGTCGGTACGGGCTAGTATATATACCGGAAAGCAAGGGAGAATGAATGACTTCCATGAGGCTAAAGCTGTGATAGGTTTTATACAGATCTTAAAAATTGTGGCGTATCACTGGAAGGCATGGCCGGTCATATAGCCCCAAGACCCGTGAACGAAAACTCGCTGCGATGAACTATATACTGGCGAAAATGCGACTTTCCACAGGAAGCATGATGGGGTTTCTTTAGTGTGGCGAACGGCTCACTTGATCCAATATCTCCTATTTTGATGAGTTTGCCTGCATGTCTTCCTTGAGAGCAACCCCACACAGCGCTTCATTTTCAGTCCATATTCATGGCCTTCGATATGGCTTCTTGTACCATACATTGGTTTGCCTGTTCCGCAGGCTGTCCAATATTGCTCGAGTGTGAATGACATTTTTTATCAAGCGTATCTCAGAGTTTATTTCTGCTGTTTGACGTGTCTTTATTAATAGTAGCAAAGATATAGAATCACATTTTTCTCAATAAATGAGCGCTAGCTAGTGCCTCAGGCCTCGATAGGTTTGTCCCTTTGAGTTGATGGATAGTCACGTGTTGTGTATGAAATCATGTTTACGTACTTGACTAGTCAAACACGACTATTCATCCCATATATCTTGAGTCTATTGGAAGGTATGTAAGCCATAAAACATCATAATATGGCTGATGTACTGTCTAACATACCAAAACGATCAGAACAAGCGAAAAATTCCCAACGTACCGCGAAAATTGGTCACTTTCGACTTTCATTACTTTATGGGTTCAAAGCAGAGGCATATCCAATTTGTGAATGCAAGACCATCGTCAGAAAATGAGAGCTTGGAGATAAAACAGAAAATCGCTGCTCACGTTGGGAGATGGATTTCTGAGCAACATAAACGCCACCCGCATAGACGCCGCAAAATCATCAAGTCCACAGTCCCTCGAGGCTCCACGGCCATCTTTGTCGGAAAACACCGAGAAGAGGACGGCACAAGAGTCGTAAAAAGCCATCCTAGTCAATCTTCGGCGTATGGGATGCCATTAACATACATATCCACTTCTACAAAACATCGGCTACCATACGATGCAGTATATGGGCCGCACAATTCAACGTCATATTCTTCGCAACACTTACGTTCAAATCATGACATTGGATATCCCTATTCAAGACACAGGAGTCGTACTGAAATATTTCAGCAGCAGTCTGACTGTTCGTGCTGTTGCCACTTATACCAAAACAATTTATTATCCGGACGGACCAGAACTTCTATCAATCATGAAGGTGATGCTGTGGTCAGACCCTTGGGTCCAGAATAATCCCCCGAATATGACCCAGCTCATGCCAGATCAATCATCTCATCTTGCGTAAGAAATCTCTCATGTACTAGCCAGAGAAGGAGCCATACCCAAGTTCACAAATGTGTTAAGAGGTGGAGATAGATGTCAACAGAAAGTATCATCATTCCCGACGGCTCGTTGATCTCCTAGTAGTTCGTTTGTCAACCGAGCTCGATTTTCATATCTACAGAGATCACCAAATTCGTGGCTATCATCTAGGCCGCATAGTAAAACGCTTAGGAGACCAATATCTCATACGACCTCACTTGCATGCCTTTTGGTTCCTATACAGTGAATGACCAAATTTCGTCCTACCATATGAAGCACTGGAATGCACATGTGCCAACTCCTAAATACACAGTCCAGGCTTCGCCATGACATGCTGATATCTATGACTGCGTGAACTGGGACAGTTGAAGGGAGATGACGTACAGTTACCTTTTTCGTTGAGTGTCGAATTTCAGTAGAAATGGAAAGAAAAGAAGAATATACTGAAAAGGTTGCGAATCTCATGATATATCAGGGCAGAACATTTAGTTCCTATGGGATATGAAGGAAGGAAAGGAAGGAAGGAAGAAAGGAAGAAAGAAGCCCTTGTAACGGAGAGCTATTTAACTATGAAAATGCACAAGCTCAGGCCAGTGGGTAGCGTTACCGTAAGAAACTCCTCCGTATGTTAGGTATCCTTCGGCTATGGATGGCGGGATTAGATGGATATTCGTCGAGTTCCCAAAGACCCAGGCCATTTGCATACCTAAGATCGAAACTGATTAGCAGGCCAGGACGTTCCATATACCTCTACGTACCCATGATCATATGTTGTAAAATGTGGCAGTAAATCATCCAGACACCGGGCTGATCTCATGTGTAATAAGTTGGACCCGTCAAAGAATCCAGTAATGTAATCGATAAGCACCCTGCGCAGCTCTGTATACAATACAAATCAGCCCTTTTCCTACTCGCATATCTCAACAACCAGAGATGGTAAAATATAATAATCAATACATAGTATACCATAGGGTGAATAAAGCTACAGTTATCTTTCTAATTCTTTGTCTTCTTAATATTACCCTTTAAAGTGGATATATTCAAACTACAGCTGTAATATTCAATACTGAAAGAAATATTGTTTATATACGCTTTTCTGCTTTAAATATTGAAGATTAAGTACTAATATCAATCCTTTTCAAACTTATAATTCAGTATGTATCGCTTCACTTTACGAAGTGGCCAAGATTCTAACTAAAGTATAAAAGGACACTTTGACCCAGTTCAAAAGCCTCCATATGCACCAACAAACGCATGAGGAATCTGCAAACCCAATAACCCAAAACTTTTCTCGGCTGCATTGGATTAACGCCGCAGAAGCAAGTTATCCGATAACCCCCACACCGACGAATGCGTTCGAAAAACATGCGACGAGAGGAATCATATTGCCACCAAAATTTGTGTTGTGGGATCATCTTGAATGGAGACTGTCCTGAAGTATTGGGAAAAGATCAGCCCTCAGAAGCTTTACTGGGTCAAGGCTCGTTTAAGCAGGCCCTAGAGTTTTGTTTAGGTTCTTATATTCGACATTTTACGTTTCACTACAAGGAGTACGGATGATTTTCATCCTCCGCCCAAGTTTGCATTCAGCTTCATAGACCCAGTGGACCCGAAAACTAAAAACATAAAGAGCAATCACTTCTTCTGAGATACAAGCAACTGCAGATCCGCAAGAGCGAAATCAAGGGATGAGGCTTTTTGCATCCTCTTCACTAGAATTTTCACATCCTCTTCCTTCCCAGACCGCAGGATATTGATTATATACGCGGAGATACATCGGTAGCTTTCCGCGTCTTTCTGAGCAACCCGCAGCGTTAATTTTCGTCGCTTGTCAGTAAAAGGCTCAAAAGAACACTCGGACTTCGACACAGCGCATGCCTCGCAGGGGGGCGGGCCACTACACTTCCAAACGTGAGCTATACTTAAAAAGCACAGTCGGCGTATTTAAATGAATACACACCTTCACTCTCTTTTGTTGACACGATGTACAAGCGAAGCTCCGCCGCTTTGACTTTCTTTCGATGCGGAGAATAGGGGCATGAGACCTGTGAAGATCACGGCATACTGCAGGCAGAAGTGTTCTGGGCTTGACTGCGAGCCCTGTCATCATTGACGTCTGCGCTAATGCTAGTCGTCTGTAATGAAGGCAAGAGAGTCAGATGTTGTTGAAGATAAATAGGAGGATTGTAATTTACAAGAACAATAATTCCACGTTTCCTATAAGAGATTCCCCCTAGTCTTCGTTTAGTTATCCATGTTTACTACTCCTTGAGTGTCAGCCACTAGTTATGTATGTTTGCCTAGACAAACTAATGCTAGGGGTAGGCCTACTCAGAACATAGAAAGCATATGTGGCTTTACAAATTCATCCCGTTTCTACCCCTGTTTTAGTACCAGCGCAATTCTTAGATATGAATTCCCGTCCATCATGGAATGATATCCCCCTTGCATTGGAGTTGACGTCTCATGCCTATTCCGTCGTACTGAGATTCACACCTAAGCGAAAGTACCAATCATGGGTTTAATCCTAAACGTTTCGTAGAACACATTAAATGTGTTATTTGCCTATGGGGGCCAAGACAGCCGAAACCAGCAACTACGACACTACACGTGACTTGGTAGTATCAGTGTAGTCTATTCGTATGGAAGGAGGCATACGGACTACCATGGTACTACCACGGAACCCCAAAGGACTACCAAATGGAAGGAACTATAGGATATATAAGGACACTCATTCATGCACTTAGTTTAGTTCTCAATTATCATAAGTTACTTGATAGCTACATTCAAGATTGTACCAGCCCAACTCGTTCGCACTATCTAACAATTGAGTATGCGTACTCAATTGGCCCGACCTTTCGACCTTGGTCTGTTATCGCATCGCATCGTTACTTCTTCTTGTTATCATCGTCGGACCCTTGGTCAACCTTTCGTCGTCGATCATTAGTGGATTCTAGTCATCGAGATAAGTCGCACCTAACCAAGATAGCTAACTGGTTGCAGAGTCCTTGGACGAATACCCGGGCGTAACATATGATTAGAGAATCAACATAGCGTAGTAACTTCTACCGAAGTGAAGCAATCAATGCCAAGGCGGCAACAGGTATTGCTATTCAATATGGATCTCACTGCAATGGAAATGAAATCAAATGTCTCTTCTGAACACTCATAGCTCAACCACCCAACTAGTTAAACTTTGATGACATATGATGATCACCTTCTGGTCCGTTATTAACGAATTTTTGTGGGGGAAGGGGGGAGGAAAGGACGCCTAATGCTTGAACACAGAATAACGGTAAAGATCCGGCCGGCCAGTGAAATTCACTGGACTTCTGGCCAACCACTTAAATCGCCACATCGATAGTCACTACATTAATTAGTGCCGATTACTGGTCGGCGAACGCTGCTGGCCTCCAAATGGAGGCACAAGATCTCCTCGATCGACGGTCGTGGCACATTGTTGGTGCATCGGCGCAAATACGAACGAATGAGTGAGCACCATGGGCGATTATAATGGCATAGATAAAGTAGTACCGGGAGCCGAACGGACTTTTGTTTTCACACAATTTGGCTAGCTATCTAAGACTACAAATTTCTTGCACTTGAGGACCATGTTTCCTCATTCTCCTGGATCATTTCCTCTCTTTTTGGCAGTGTTCAACCATCCTATCCCGGCTCCCC